AAAATCTAAGTAGCGAACAAGTAAACAGTAGTATAGAAGATACAGCTGATACAGAATCTGAGATGAACTGTGTCTGGGAGAAGATAGCTACAGGAATAATATGCGCAGCTAATAAGAATATTCCTAGAAAAAAGGTTTCTAAAATAATCAATGCAAAAAGAGGAAACAAGTTTAAAAAATCTTGTTTGCACGAAGATATGATTAGGCTTAGCAAACTAGTGAGAAGTCTAAAGAAAAAAATTGGTCTGAGAATCGGGATAGATGACAGAGACGAGATTAACATGTTAACGGAAGAATTTAACCTTAAACATGAAACAAAAAATCCCACAAACAACATCATACATAGATGAAACCTGGCATGAAGATCTAGTGGGTTGGTGGAAACTACTAAGGGCAAGATGGATACAAGAAAAAGAAAAGGCCAAAAGAGAAATGATTGAAGAGCACATCAACAAACGTTGCGAAAGAATAACAAGAGAACAAGGAAAAATGCTGGCAAGCTTGCTAGAAAGGCCTTTTAAGAAAATTAAAATAGATCGGGTTTTAAGAGAAGAAAACAGTAGTTTTACACTCATTAATGATTCAGATAGTGTTAAGGAAGCAACAAAAGAACACTTCCAAAATCAGTTTAGGAAATGCCAGGTACAACCTAACAAGATAACAAATGAATGGGAGGAAATCTACAAGCCAATAAGCAGAATTAAGGAAGAATGGTTTAAGCACCTAAATGACCTGATCCAAGATGAAGAATGGCAAGAGATGCTTACAGAATTGAAAACTAAAACGGTCCCAGGGATTTCAGGAATAAGTTACACACTAATTAAAAAAGCTGGAGCAACATCGCAAAGTGTGTTTAGAAAATTTGCAGAGAAGTGTATATGTAAAGGAGTAATTCCAATTAAGTGGAAGCTTGCACAAATCTATCTAATCCCAAAAGGCCTGGATTGGGACTTTTAGTTAGACAATATAAGACCAATTGCACTTCTAGAAATGTTTAGAAAGTGTGTAACAAAAATCTTTAACAAGCGTCTAACCAGGACCCTGGCAGAGCACAGTATCCTTAAAGAGCCAAATTATGCAGGGCTTCCAGGCTACTCAACAGAAGAACCAGTACAGATCATTAACACAGTTATGGAGGATGCAAAGGAAAAAAGAAAAGAGTTGTGGGTGTATTTCAAGACATGCGGAAAGCATATGACTTCATATCGATAGAGATGCTAATGTTAGCCCTCAAGAGAATCAAGCTCCCTGCCACAAGTATTCAATTAATACATAACCTTTTCAGCAAAAGACAGATGAAAGTAATAGTACAAGATGGCTACACGTTACTTTTCGAGGCAGGTGATGGTATCGATCAGGGGGAAGTCATATTCCCAATCATATGGCGAATTTTTTACAATTCACTTCTATGTAGAATACAGGATGACAAGACTTTTGGTTATGAAGTTGAAACATGCATCCCAGAAGATATAACAACAGGGGCAAAGACTAAGGTCTGTGTAAGGCAGGCAGCTATAGCCTATGCAGACGATACGACTTGGCTAGCGAACAGCAAAGCTGAAATGGAAAGAATACTAAAAGTAGCAAATGAGTTTTATATGATCAATGACATACAGATAAATAGCAAGAAATATAATTTGGTAGTAATGAACTGCAAGGACAAAGACCATGAGGCGAAGTTGGTTTAGTTTAATCAAGACGAAATCAGAGCCACCAAAGATAGCATCGCGGTGAGAATGCTTGGTATTTGGTTAAGTGGGAAGTTGAAAGAATCTCTAGTAAGAGACAAAGCCAAGCAAATCGTTAGACAAATGACCTTAACATTACAGTGGAAAAAACTAACAATAAGCCAACTAGCATACATAAACAACATGGTCTTACTACCCAAACTCAGTTACATTTTACAAGTCAGTAAACTTAGTACTCAGTCAATTGAAAAGATCCATCAACCTTTCATAAGACTAGTCAAAAGTAAACTAGAATTAGCCCGAACAGTCAATAACAATATGATTTTGCATAAAGATTTGGGAGGTTGCAGATCATTAGAACAGGAAATTGTAACTAAACAGTTAATTGCCCTGCAAAACAGACTAAACTGTACGCAAATTGAAGGGCAAGTAACACAAATCCGGGTTAGAAAAGGGTTTTTAGATGCAGGTCTGACTAGTACAGTGTGGCAAACAGAAGAGAAAAAACAGCTAAGCAAGTTGTGAAAAAATAATTTGGCATGCATGATTTTATTAAAAGCAAAAGGAATAGATTTAGCAATGAGTAATCTAAATTCGTTGTGGAACATAAAGGGGACAGGTACTCCTTTGAGCAAGCTGCTATTAAAAGGGGATATAAACGGACTGACAAAAGATTTAAAAAAATTAATGATCTTTTATACATCACAAATTATTGACCATACGGGATATCAATTACTAACATGGCAGCAAATTAAGTTTATAAGAGAGAAGTCTAGTCGTGGCAAGAAAGCAAAGTGGTTTGAAATAATAGAGAGATTAGTACTACGAGATCAGCTTACAAGACAAGTTAAAGCTGAATACATTGAAAGCAGTCCAAACAAAAAAACTATTATCTACTCAGAAGAAGCAATTTCTGAAGACAAAAGAGTTAAGGAATGGGTACTATGTGAAATGAAGAACAAGAGAAGAAGGATATGCAGAGTGCGAGAAAAAGAAAAGACAAAGGTCAGATTAGAGGAGTTTGAGATCAGAGACAGAGAAAATGATGAAGAAGGCGGATCTAATTTTGGCTCGATTTTAGAGAAGATGCCAGAAGACAGCGACGGCTGCTGGAACAACAAAGATAGAATATTAACAAGCCTACCCAAGCCAAGTATAAAAGAAGAAGAAAGAAGGTACCCACTAACGACAGCCTTATTCAAAATATAGTACTGGCAATAAGAGGAAAAAAAGTAATGATGAAAGATCAGTGGCTATGGTTGCACTAGAAGAGTCATTAGAAACGAAGCTGATTAAGAGATACATAACTAGCCAGAAATACAGGAATTACTCCAAAAACAACTTAATATAAATAAGGAACAACCGGAAAAAACAATCCTCTTCTATACAGATGGCTCTTTAAAGACAAACAGGTCAGCAGTAGCAATGGAGGCAAGCTGGCTACGCGTCCGAGAAAACATGCCTAAAGTAATATTTGAAGGGTACTGTAGAATAGAGAAATGGCCCTCATCAACGAAGCCTGAGTTAGCAGCAATCCTTCTTGCACTCCTAACTGTCCCACAGGGGTGTGAAGTTAAAATCAGAACAGATAGTGCAACAGCAATAGCAGGGCTAATGAAGCAGCCTGGTTTCCAAGAGAAGAAGAAATGGGCAAGGTCAAAGAACATTAATATTAGAATAGGTATCTTAGAGATAGTTAAAGTTAAGCACATTAAGTTAGTACTAGAGAAGGTAAAAAGTCATAGCGGGGAGCAATGGAATGATAGGGCGGATATTCTGGCAAAGAAAGGGGCAGAGATTGGCCTGGTCACAAACGTAGCATCAACCTATAACAACTGGATAAGATTTCAGTGGCAATGGAAAGACATCCAAATCGAATCAAGGCCAAGAAAATTTTTTAAGAATCTTTTTCAAGCAAGGACAGCAGCAAGTTTAAGTCTATCTCACTTAAGCAAGTTAGAAGGAACAAAAGAGGAGGGGAAAAAATTAAAGTGGAATCTTTTTTGGTCCCATTTAAGTGACTTTACCAGTTACAAATGCACGTCTCTTAAGAAAAGCAAAAAGCTAAGTTTCTGGTTCAAATTAATTATGGACGAGTTGCCGATGCTGCGAAAGCTACAGCAAAGAAAACCAGAGATTTATAATGCAGTCGACTGCAAAGTGTGTAATAGTGGAGATGAAGAAACACTAGATCACATATGGGTATGTGAGGCACAAGAACCCAACTGGCAGAATATAGAAGCAGTAGCGACAGAGATAGTATGGGACAAATTGCCTGAAGAGACAAAAAGTAACTTAAATCTAAACAGCTTGAGAAAGATCTTAATCGGAACCAGCAAAGAAGAGAAGAGACAAGCTAGAGAAAGTCTAGTAAAAGGTTTATGTAGAAATGAAACATACAAGAATTTAGAAGATGCTTTAAAATCCAAGAAGATAGTGGACGAGTGCCTAAAGAACATTTTCTATATCTTCAGAAATGGGTGTTTTGATTTTATATGGAAGGAGAGATGCTACAAGGTAAACCAATGGGAAAGACAAGAAGGTATCACAGCGAAGCAGAAAAGACAAAAGACAAGACCAGGAAATACATGCAAAGGAGAAGAAAGCACAAACTGCCTGGTAGGATTAAGAAGACGCCCGTCTAAAGATGAAAGAGAAGATAGACTAAAGAGAAGTCAGCAGAAAGCAAGAGAGGTTAAAAAGAGGTGGGATGTTGCAATTGAGGAGATGATAAATAACGGTTCGAAGCCGTTCTGGTTTGGCTCTTGACGGGGCTGACAATGTCTTCTGCTCTATGCGTAGAGTAGTGCGACAGGTCGCATCTAGGTACTCGAGAAGCAACCGGATGATGCCGGACCTAGTTATTTTAGTTTAGATAAATAACATGTGAATAACATATGTAAAAGTAATTATCTAGTAATAAAGGTACCGACAAGACTGTCAAAGAGTTAAAAAAAAAAAAAAAAAAAAAAATAATCCTGTTTTAAACTGTTTTGAGTAAAATGTTTAAACCTAAACTAGTTTTAACTTTTCTAAACTTATTTTAAAAACTTTAAACTCTGTCTAAACTCTTAAACTATATCTAAACTTCTAAACTATATTAAACTTTAAAAATATATTTTTTAACTTGTCTAAACTTATTTTAAAAACTTTAAACTATCCAAATTTCTAAATTATATCTAAATTTTTTAACTATATTTAAACTTTAAACCTATTTTTTTTAACTAGTTTAAATTAATTTTTAAAATTTTTAAATTTTTAAATTAAAAATTTTTAAACTATATTAAAATTTTTAAACTATATTAAAACTTTTAAATTATATTAAAATTTATATATTAAATTTAAATTTATATTAAAATTTATTTAAAATTCTAATAAAAATTATATTTAATAATTTATAATTTTAATATAATAAAATTTTAAAAATTAAAATTTTATTATATTTTAATAATTGATATATTAATTTATTTTATATTACTTATAATAAATATTATTATAATATTATAGTCAACTCTTTTTATAATTACATAATTTGTTTACTTAATAATTTTTTTAAAAAATATGTTTATAAAGAGATTGTGCTTATATAAAGGTAGTTTTTTGTATATTTAATAGTAATTTGTTTTTGAGTATATAATATAATAAAAAGAAGTTTTTTTAAA